GAGAAGAGCAATCGCACGAAATGCGTTACTTTCGCGGTGTGCTTATCAAGGATGCAACGAAAATTTGCATGCTAACGAGGACACGTGAGATGTGGATGGCCTTCGAACAGGAGAAGACCAAGCGTGCATTCTCGAATGCGCTGTACTTGTGCAAATTATTGTATGAGTACAGTTTCACACAGGGTATGGACATGGAGAAGTACTTCGATAAAACGGAGGCCATGCGGCACCAGCTGCGCAACAAGAACGACGAAGTCTCGGACAATGACATAGTAAAACTGATTCCTTAAGGAGTTGCTTTCGAGTACCGTGAAGGCGTGAGAATGTTCGACCAAGATGTGTGCGACGGTAGCATGTCGATGCTGTCTGAGGTGCTGAGTACCCTGCGCACTGAGGCTGATGTGGATAAGCAGCGGGGTGGCATGACCAATAAAACTGCTAAGTTGTCTGATGGTGCCAAGATCTCACAGGTGAATGAGCAGCAGCAACTCCTTAGTGACAAAGGGAAACGTCGGGGATAGCAGCACAACAGCAAAAAAGGAAACTATTCCAGAGAAAGAACGGGCAGATGAGGAAACCCGAACCTGCCTTCAACCCGGTCATCTGAAGTGAAACTGCAGAAAATATGTGGAGGTGAAGCGGCAGAAACAGACACAGTAGTCGAACAACAACACACGGAAGTCGGAAGGGAAGAAGAAAACGTCCTCGTCAATGTCGCTAGCTCGCTGGAGTGATGCTGGTGGCAGTTAACCATCTTCTATTGACATTGTTGGTTTAAATTGTTTAAAGCCCCACCTACAAACCCTTTACGCCTAATCATTCCGAATAATGTTCGCTCCCTGCGGCTGCTGGCACGGGTATTAGCCGGAACTTCTTTTAAGTACTGTCATTTTCCTCCTTATGAAAGAGCTTTACAACCTAATTAGCCTTCATCACTCACTCGGTATTGCTGGATCAAGCTTCCGCTCATTGTCCAAAATTCCCCACTCTTGGTGATGATCGTTAAGGGCAAAATGCGATTGCGACAACTATTCGGGACTGTGAATCGGCCTATGACGAGTGGATGATTGACACAGGTGCTGGAGTGCATGTCTGTACTGACTGGACAGATTTCTCTAGTTTGAAGGAGGACTCGCTAACGTTCATTGGTTGGACAGACCACATCAGCAAAAGCGATGCTTATGTGCAGGAGAGCATTTGCGGAACAATAGTACTGTCCGAAAATCATGTGACCAAGGAGCTCGAGGATGCTAGTGGTGGTGTCACTAATCTACCGAGTCTGGAACGGGTCCTCTCCTACTTGAATGTGGTTGATCTAGCACTACGAGTTATGTACCTGAGTTGGAGTGGTGTGCAGCTCGCGTTGGTCAAACGCGATGATCACCATTGGCTCCGGACAGAGCACAGAGTGTAGGATAGCACAGATATGTGCAAGATGACGAGAATGCAGCGACAATATTAGCTCATGCACTGGCACATGAAGGTCACTTACATGCGCAAGCATTGAAGCAGCTGGTGCTGGGGGACTTGGCAGAAGGCATGACGTCGCTAAAGCTAAAGGGTTTTGACAAGCCTTAACTGCATCGCGCGTACCACAGCAAAGGAAAGACGCAGGTCGTACAAGCGGCACAACAAGCGGGGCAATGTGTGTTTTGAATGATGTTTGCTATGTTGGTGTGGAGACAGCCGGTGGAAACAGGTACCTCCAACCTGTCCAGGATGAAACCTTTTGATACAAGTGGTGCTATCTTCTCCGTCACATGAGTGAGGCGGCGCAAAATGTGATGAATCTAGTTCTGGAACTAAAACAAAAAAAACACAACATGAAGCGATTCTCGTGCGACGAAGGCAAGGAGTTTGTCAACAGACGCTTGAAGACTTTTCTGGCCGATCATGGAGTGAAGCTGCTGATGACTAGTGCCTATACGCCGGAGGAAAACAGTCTGGTGGAGAACCCAACGGCAACTCGCTCAATAAGATCCGTGCTATCCGCGAAAGCACTGAGCTTCTGTCGTCATTGTGGGGGAAATGCTGATGAATATCGTGGGGGTAGACAATATGAGCCTGACGAAGGCGTTGACTGGTGTAACACCCGATGAGAATCTTACACGAATCAAGCCTGGTGTGGTAAATCTTCGTGTTTGCGGCTGTGCTGCGTTAGAGCACGTTTCCATGAAGCTCAGGCACCGTAAAATGAGTGTTAAAGTCACCCCGACTTTTCGTTTTGGCTATGCGAGTAAATCTCGAGGTTACAGATTGCTGGGCATACAGACAGGAGATCATATCATGCGACGAGATGTGTCATTTCGGGAAGACATCACAGTGGCGAGCGCTTATGTGACAAAAGTATTGGCTCAACGTTACCGAGGCCGTGCTGAGCTCCCAGATAGTGATTCCTACATTCATCTACCTGTCAATGCAGTACATGACTCTGTACATATTCCTGAGCGACTTTCGGATGATGATGACACTGGAAGTGCAGGCGTTGAATCGAACAAAGCTGTTATTGCTGCTTCAAGTCGGAAACGCCGTGTACTATCTCTTTCTCAAAACTCGACAGACCAAGTCATAAGCATGGTGAAACCACTCGCGTACTAAATAAAAGAGAAAATATGGCAGAAGCTTTAAGCAGAGCGTACGAGGGGTAGACGCTCGCTGCTATTGCACGGTCATCACCTATCCACTCTGAAGCCTAAAGAGCTAAAAAAAACAAAATTTGTACCAATCGTCAAGAGCTGTCGCAGACCAGCCTTAACATTATCCCCCTGATACTTCGTATTTAAGCCTATAGAACTAAGTGCGTGCTAAGTGCAGGAAGTACTAGCACTCTTGAGCACTTAGAGTCGAGCGAGTCGGGGGTTGAATAGCGGGAGACGAGTGTTTGAGTGTAAGCAAGTAATTTGCAAAGTGATTCATGTTATGCTTCATCAAGCTTCTGCGTCTGTGAAAAGGAGGAAAGCGATGGCCACAAACTCCCGTGTGTTTACTCTACTGGCCACACTGCATGTTCCTGGAAGTGAATCCAGTTTGTATAGCCATTCAAACTAGATGTTGTGGATTCCTTCAGCATTCCACAGAGTGCATGTGGGCGACCAACAGTAGATGTTTAACCAACAAGTGACAATTAGGAGAAGTATTTTTTAGCGGAGCTCCCACTATCATTGGCATTATCCGCTATTGCAAGACTCACATTGAAATCACATTCAAGTTTTGGATTGCGTATGGAAGCGTCAATGTCGGAGCTAAATTAAAAAAAACGTGAGACTTAGCCAAGGAGTCCGACCAAGCTGTCGAAGATGCTGAGAGACAAGGGTCCCAGTACGGGAGAAGGACTTAGATCCTTCACTGGTTGTGAGAACCGGAGAGAGAGAGTGCTAAGGCAGCTAACTTATTTACTTTTACTTTTTCTTCTGCCTCGGATTGAGTGCAATATCCATTATCAAGTTCCTGTGCACTAAAGTAGTTTTGTAAATCCAATCAAAGGTATGTGGATGATGCTTAATAATTGGGTGTTTACACACCTCGTGCACTATTGTCAGCTCCGTCCAAAATTGCCGATGCGGCAGCAATCCACAACTCATCGACACGACGCTATGAATGGCTCAAACTGCAATCTTAGGTCATCCTATTAGCTACAATAACCCCAAAAGATATGCATGTCAAAGTGCCAGGCCAATGAAACCAGAGGTGCATTCTGTAAGACAGTTTTACGTGAGTGGGTGCGCGTTTGACAAATTTCGCACAATACTAATTAGCCGATTCCGTGCACACATTGTCTTCACTTGAAGTTTAAATCTAGATCAACACTGTTATAATTCTTGCTAGATCAATAGAAACACTAATACGTGTCTTGTGTATACGGAAATGTAAAGTAGAAGTATTATTGGGCTTCCGTTTTATGACTTAGATCGGCATATAAATAATGCATTAAAACGAGATAGGAACAGGTATTTCTATGCGCTCGAATTGCGTTTTCAAGCGCGCAAAAATGGTAGATTTACATGGTGTGATTTGCCTGGAATCCAACTTGGGCGCTCGATTTAGCTCGATTTATTGGTCTTCCGATTTGCCGTTTTTTATGGACCTCGATATATAAAACGACATTATTTATTAAAAATCGAAGATATAAAGCAAATACGTCTAAGAAAATCTACATTACATGTATGCAGGGGTGAATTTACGAGATGATTTACGGTAAAGTAAATAAAGATTTCTAGCCCAGCCCTTCTTTCTTACAAGAAAGATTTTGATGTGACATAGCACCACATTCTTGAGCACTCAGGCAGTTCGGCGTGAAGCAAACTTAAAACAGGCCCCTGGCGCGTTCTCCATTTTCCGATAGATTGAATTAATACCTCTGGGCGCGGTCATTTATTAGCTGAGCTGATTTTTGACCAATTGTATCGCCATGAACTCATGCTTATCAACCATGCGACTCTTCACGATAGGATCCAAGATCTTGTTGTCAGCAACAACTCTCCTCCACAGGAAAACTACTAGACTAGTATGTGTGCCCAGCATAGACTCGCGTCATTTCAGGATCTTTTCGTTTGCAGTCAAGTCGGTGGAAACGTAGTCAAGAGATGGGACGTTTCAACTTCAAGTCTTCATTTACGTCATGGTTGGTGATTGCTTTTGCGATTTCCACTGCCAGTGGGCAACAAGTGGGCACCAACTGTTCGGATGCTCGTATTCGTCGATCCTGGGATACGTACAGTACGAG